CCATTTGGTAGCTTGTGGTTCAGTTTATTTAGTAAAATACACATATTATGAGTAATGATCTATTTCCTTACAGTAAAAAAATGTATTTGCACTGAAACCTTGTGTTTACACTGCAGCTTTGTCGCACACACAAATCCCACCCACACGGGCAGAAATGTCCCTGCTGGCTATCCTGTATAACATGTCCACTCCGTTCTAATGTATCTAACAGAAAAACTCAGAAAGGCCTTCAGAGACAACAATAACCTGACGATGAGTAGCCTGTTTAGCCCTTCAGCTAAGACTGTCAGCAAGTGAAAGAACTTCAACGTATGCGGCAAAGTGCGGTGAAATCTTCACTCAGCAACCTGTCACACTTTGTACAAATCTGCCACCGGCTTTCCCATTCCCCAGACAGGCTGCGACGTTAGGTCAAATATCCCCCGACACACCAATCTACTAACATACTCTGCTGACCCTTAAGTTTTTTTCTGAAAATAGCGACAAAAGCTGCTTGATATCTCGGAGCCAAGAGGGACCGCTTTGATCTCTTACTGCTACACCCCGCTCTTGACTTTTCCTGTCGTTCCAATCAACACTTTCACGAGACACAGACGACATGCGGAGTTTTATAAACCTCTGGCACGGCACCGCAACTGTGCTTGCATGGAATCCCCCTTCTGCCGTCGTACATCCCAAATGAGAATATATTAATAACACTGACACCACCACAAGCCTTGTGTCTGGGATCCAAACTCATTTTCACTGTGTCAGGGGTTCATGCATAATTATCTGCTTCGATGGCCTGTGAGACTCGCCTGCTGCAAATTTAACATCCCCAAAAACTGGAGGGGGGGAAAAAAATTAAAATATGCCTCCCTGGTGTCTCTCAGCTTTGATCCCCTAAAAGAACAGATGCAACACGTCATTCACAAACACAAACTGTAAGGTAAGGGCTGCAAGCTCGCCCCCGGGTCAGTCTTAACCCAGAACGCGATATGAAAAGAATAACGCAGTCGAACACTGCAAAGTGAAATTTGTCTCATACTCAGAGAGATCCTTTATTAATATTTTATGCTCTTGCACAATGCAAACTAGTTCAGTTCAAACTTGCTGCCTGCCAGGGTAAAAACAAAAGGATGTTTTAACCAGAAAAACCAGGTCACAGGATTCGACTGAATGGGTAACCAAGACTGAATGAGAAACAGCTATTAATACAGCAGCAGCAGCAGCAGAAGAGTTACAAGCCATAACAACGCATTCAAATAAACAATAAGTTGGCAACACAGCTTGAATCCCGATTGCTTTGCTCGAGCAATTGTTTTTGACAGATCGAGCAGCAACGCCGCACATCCTAATCGTCCTGATGATTTCATTAGGCCTCCTCCCTCTGCTGCAATGATTGCCGCAGGAAGAGATCCGATCAAGAACCATGCCGCAAGTTTTCAGGTTGACCCCGGGGAGCAGCAATCAGTGGCCTTGTGCACCGGCGAACCCTCTCCTGCAGGGCGTTTGTCACAGGATGCGGGCAGCCACGTGACCCCCTTGTGTGTTTCACCAGGTAATGAATCCCTCGGGAGCAGAGTGGCCTGGTTGAGTTAGATCCCCCCCTCCAAGCGATGGAATGCATTGATTGGATGCAATGCTACTCTAACCCAATCTATCACCACAAATGAACGGTTACAGGGAGCTCCAGAGCAGAGACCAGGAGGAGAGATAGGGGCTGATAAAGTTTGATGTTCAAGCTGTCAGGTGGGAAACAGTGGATGTGAAGGTGGCTCTGTCAGCCAATTCCACTTTTTTTAACAGCATACCTACGACATGCTGAAGAGGAGCAATAAATTTCTAAGCGATGCACTCCATTGTTGAATGGAATAAAAAATTCCAGCTACGTCCTTGTGCTTGGTTGTTTTTGTTGGACTGAAGCGTTTATCACGAACTCGCAATGATACAATGTCTCCCGGCTTTTTTTTTTTTTATCGAATAATCCTGTTATTTTCCTTCACTCTCCTCTGGATGGTAACTATCTATAAAATGAGATGTGGAAAAAGTAATCTTTCAGGAGCGAGATCTTTCCTCCCGTTCGTTCTGTTCCGATAAGAGTTGTAAACCTTTGTCAGGGTTGTCAAGCTTATCAGCGCGTCTCCCCTCCCTCGTTCTGGTCGCAGAGGCGCATAACGATAAACAGTACATTTACAAATCATTACCAACATTCTCGCACATGGATTTGTCCTGTGGCAAACCAAAGAGAAAGTGAAGGAAAGAAATGCCTTCCTTAAACGAAGCTCTGTGTGTCGAGCCTTTAGGGGCTCTGTGGTTTTTGTCTGTGTGCACATTTTTTCCCAGCATTCATAAGTAAAAGTGTGTTTCGCAGTGGAACCACAGAGCTAAAGCCCCAGTTTCCCTAAAGTCATTGTACATGGGAACTCTGAGACGGTCTGGTAAGCTGAGATATAGAAAAGGGCAAATTCTACAATCCTACAGTATTCACATTTACTACTTTGCTCATAATTAAAGCATGATGTGGCCAACCACATGGACAACTTCTGAAACATTCATCTGAGCTGCTTAAATATTAATTAATGAATATATTAATTACTGCCACATTAGAGGTGGGGTCAGAAAAAGCACAGGGACTGGACCAAACCCACTGAACTGGTGTTCAATAAGGCAGATGTAAGAAAAGAGGCCACTTGAGTTTGAAGAGCCATCTTATCGCCGAGCTGGAGTGTCGCCTTCGCAGCCAAGAAGCAGATGCTCCGAGTCTCAGCTCACTGGCTGACCTGTGAGCAAAACCAATCAGAGGCATGGGCAGGGAACAATGTGCTATCACTGTGATATGCACTTGTTTTGATAAGCGCCTGTCTGCTTCAGTCCCTCCAGTTTGTCAGGGGGCTTGCTGCAATATTGGCAGAGGGTTATGAGAATGCCTGTAGGGCTGCGCGGCACAGTTCAATTCCATGTGCGCTGCAATCTCAGAGCTTTCAGGCTTACTAAATCAATTACACAGAGTTGTGGAGCCTGCGCCTCTCCCCCACATAACGCCCATTGTTTCAGTTTGCTGCTGTTGCATGGACCAAATACGCAACTCCTGATAAGTGGAAGGAATAGCCACATGCACGACCGTGTGTTTCACATGTGCTCAACTTCTGAGCTGTCCGGTTCATGATCTCTGAAGGAGTCATCTGAGGTCAGACTGCAGCAAATCTCCACGAGGCACAAAGAAGAACAGTCATTGCATCTAAAGCAGGCAATGTTTCAAGGTCCAGTGAAAGCAGGGAGGATTTTTTTTCAGTTTTGTCTTTTTCTTTTTTATCTAACTGTGTCCAGGAGCAAGTCTTTGTTTGGAGAGAAATTAATGACAGACAAGGGAGCTGCAGATCGACAGAGCCTGAGGGCATCGAGACAGATCTCAGCTTAAAGTATGAAGGTTCTGAGGGGAGGGAAAAAAACACAGTAGTGCGTACCAAGAGGGAAACAACACAAGTCCAGCTGCTGCTCATAATAAATGCCCCACTATGGCTATAACACACAAACATGCAGCTCCATATGCCAGCTTTGCAAGCAGTCTTACAGTTTTACCAGAGTTTTACACACAGTTAACTACATTTTTGGTGACGTAAACCCACTCCTTATTTCTGCACCACCTCATAAAGGTTAACTGAAATGTTTGGAAATGTGATTAATCAATTTACATTCAAAATGGGTCGTACAATCAGCAGCTCTGTTGAGTTTGTTAAACAACAATTTTCACAACCCCCACTTTTTTTTTTTTTTTTGTAAAATTTATTTTTTTGGCCTTTGTGCCTTTATTTAAAAACCCCCTGGAACATCCCCTTGAAATAGGCCTTGGTG